AACAATGTCAACAGTCTTCTTATGTTTTTCTATTATCATTACTATGCTATAAGTCCTGCTTTAAACATGTAGCTGGGCAATTCTTACTTCTGGAAAAAAAAAGGGTCATAGGTTTGCACAGCTATGCACAATTGAGGCCACAGAGGATGTAAGATCATCAAGACATACCTCACTTTTTTTTCTTGGCTTCTCCAGGTACATTAGAGACCTGGGAAGCTGAGGAGGGTCTGGTTCTTAGCAGCAGGATTTGGAACATGAAAAAGTACTGATTACATTGGAACAAGTGCCCTGGTGGGGTTTTTTTAACACACCTAATTATTTTCACCTTTCCACATCTCTATGAAAGGGCTTTTTTTAATCTTTTGCAGATGGACAAACATACAAAAGACTTTACAGTAATGACTGATGCACAGGATGTATCCCCTAATTAAATATTAAGTCCATAGCCTTTTCCAGAATACAGTTTTAATGGTTGTAAAGAAGTATCTTGCACCTTTTTAGCCTCATCCCTGCATGGAAAACGTCTATAACATTTTTATTACCTTAATTTTTTTAAGTATTGTAAGATAGACTATCAGAGTCCTGAAGAAAATGGATTTCTTGGTTTTACTTCTCTTATGATGAAGCAGCTTCTTTGGTGCTGCCAATCTACACGAGATAGGCTTGTTTTAGATTTTTATTTGGCTACCAGCACTAGTTGTTTTTCCCACTGTCACGTTCAATCTGCATGACATCAGCATGTCACAGTAGAACAGATGTCACTTTATTATGGTCTCTTTTTTAATTAGTGGTCCAGTCTTCCTTGACCTGCTACAATTTACTTGCAGCAATATAGGTGCTCTGATGGGGACATAACCTAGAGTGACAGCTAACAGAAATATTGTTGAAATATTTGAAACTGAAAAGAAAAATCTATCTCAGTCAGATAAGCAGCCTGAAGGATCAAAGGATGCCAAAAAGACTTCTGCTTGAAAAATACAAGCAATGTTACAGCAAAATGGTGCTAGGACCTTTTAATGGCTTACTTGAATTGCTAGCGGCAATCATGCTGTAAATTTATTTAGGAGGTAGTGTAACAGCTCTCTAATTTGTTCTAATGCTTCAAGAATTGGTTTAAAGATGTTAAAAAAATATACATATACATATATATATATATACACACATGCACATGTATATATATGTATATATTTAGACACAGGACACAGGTCTTACAGTTTTGTTTCAATTTGGGTATAAGATGGAGCTTCTCTTACAGTACCTGACATTGTGTCACCTTCTGATAATGTGGCTGCTGGTGGTAAGAGGCTCAAAATGCCATTTGTATTTAAAATCTCTATTTTCAGATATATAGTCTAGTTTACTCATGCAGAGAAGTCATTTTACCTTTTGACCTTTCTGCTGGACTGAACAAAATAAGTGAAGACATATTCTAAAAGTCTTTGTGTTTGAGTGAATTGTGACTGCAGCTGAAATTGTCAGTCTCCTGTATTATTCACATCAATTTATTTGTAATACAGTTGGCCAAACCATTCCATTTTAGATAGTTATTTCATTTTGTTTAGATTTATAGTGAAGTTAAAAAATTAATGAAGCAGAAAATCAAAGCATTGTAGAGCATTTTAATCAGATATGAAGTACTACAATTGCAATAATAAGATTTTTACTTAACACATTAATTTCGTTCATTTGCCTAATTACTTTCTATAACACAAAATAACTGAAAGCTTAGGTACAAGCCCATGCTTAAATGCATTGCTGAGGTAGAGCACAATTTCCAAGATTTTCTTTGCAGGACAAGAAGAAATCTTATGGAATTTTAATAATAAATAGAGCTAATAATAAAAAGAGCCTAAGGCTTTTCAGACATGCTATGTCTTCACTCCTTGATCTCTTCAGGAGCTGAAAGAATCTAAAAGACTGGATTCCGTCCTATCTGCTTATGTCTGACCTCATGCAAAAAGGATTTGTTTCCACTGGTACTTTAAAAGCAAGGAATACCTGTCAGAGTACTTGCTGGAAGCTGGTATGAGTTAGCAAAAGCTCTCTGGGGGCTGGAAAGACTGTGCAGGTTATAAGGAGTTATCAAGAAGTTGCAATTGAGTGACATTGATAAACACAAGAAGAGCAGCACATCATTCGGAAATTATTAAAAAGTCAGGCAAATGAGCTAAGGATCTGGAAAAACAAAAACAAAAACAAGGTAAGTAATAAATACAGCTAACTAAAGAGAATACCAAATAAATTACTGATCAAATTCAAAGATTACTTTCAAGACCTGCGGGTATGGAGCAGAGAGAACAGCCACGCATGGGAAACACTGTAGACCCCAAAATGTAAATGTAGCAAAGGGCAGAGGAACAGGACATCCTGTGGTGCTGGGTAGGAGTTAAGCACTGGGTAGGATATTGCTGCTGCTGCAGCTTTCACAGGGTCAGTCATGCACCAGGGCAGTGCTGACAAAGAAGTCTCAGAACTTCTGCTGGCCAGAGTGACCCTGAGATACATCAGAAAGTCTCTTTTCCCAGCCCGGCAGTCGAAGGAGGAGTCAGAACTCTTCTGTTCTAGAGGTTGTTTATTGTATCTTATCTATAAAATTCTTTCTCTGTCCTGCCGAGGTCTGCTCAGCCAGACAGTCAGAGGCACTGACCGCCCCTGGGGCAGTGTTATCTTTTTATACTAAAAACTACGTGTACATTATTTACCATAACTTCCCAATAGCTATCCCCTATGTTACACAGTGAGCTTCTACTCTAAACCAGTCCAAAAGTGCCAGCATCACAGCAGAAGATGGAGGCCAAGAAGAAGAAAGAGAAAGGCTGGACATGCCCAGATTCCTCCATCTTGCCTCCTGAAATCACATTTGAAAACCCCCAAAAATCTATTTTTCACCCCGTGACAAACTAACTATTATTCTACTCAGACTTTCCTGGCTTGCAGATCCTCATATAAAGTTGGTAAATTTTTCCATGTGTCACAATCAAAATCACAGGTGTCTTGGGCTCTGTCCAAGGTCTCTGAGCCCCCCGGCAGAGGTTCGGGCAATGCAGGATAGCCAGAGGGATGTCCTGAATTCTGACAAAGAAGTACCAAGAGAATAACAGATTCAACTAGATTGGAAAGGACCTCTGAAACCATTGAGTCCAACCTATGACCCAACACCCCCTTGTCCATCAGACCACGGCACTGAGTGTCGCACACAGCCTTTCCCTACACCCCTCCAGGGACAGTGACCCCGGTGACCTCTCTGAGCAGTCCATTCCAGTATCTAATCACCCTTTCTGTGAAGAATTTCTTTGCAATGTCCACCTAAACCTCCCCTGCTGCAGCTTAAAACTGCCCTCTTTTCCTGCTGCTGGATGCCTGGGAGAAGAGGCGACATCCACTTGGCTACACTCTCCGGTCAGGTAGTTGTAGGATTTGCTAATTCATGGCAATCTGCAAATGAAACTGATTAACGACTGTCCATGAGAGAGCAAGAAATGTAACTATTTCAGACAAACAGGGAACATGGTATTGATGAAAAGAGCTCTACTACCTCGTGCCCCCAGCAGGTTTTTGTGATCTTCATGAGTAACTCAAATGTCTAGGTTAGAGAAGCCATTACCTGCATTATATTTTCTGACTCTGGGAACAAAGTTGCACACAGACTTGATAAAAGATGAGCAGCCAAATGAACATTTTTCCATATTTTTTCCACAGAAATCAAATAAGGAAAAAAAAAATAGGCTGACACATTTCAGATTATTCATGTGTATAGATATCCATGTTTCATTACTTCAAGGAATTCTGCTTCCAAATAATATCACTTCTGCATATGCTTCATTTATTAGGGCTAGAAGACAAAGAGCCAAATGAGACTGTCAATTACATAAATATTTTTTGTAATTCTCTGTGTAGATATTCTGTATATACACAAAGCCACACACACAGAGGGAACTTGAAAATTCACTGTACGACATATATTATGGGCAACTCATTAATTTGTAGTGAGGCTGCAGAAAAAGTTTTTGAGAAAGGGAAGAAAATAATCCCAATCCTTCTGAAAGCTGTTTTTTTGCCATAAAACAAAGTAAAGTAAAAGAAGTGGCGCAGGAGATATGGTTTTAAGGATAAAATGGCAAGATGAACATCATCAGATCACAGTGGACATTATCAATATGATAACAGTGATGACTCTACCAAATAACAAGAAATAAAATAAAAAATATTTTATAATAAGATTATAAATTAAAATTTTATTACATTATTATAATTAATAATAATAATAACTATAATAATATTTTATTATAAATAATTATAACAATTAAAAGCCTTTCTAGGTGTTATGGGCTTTTGGAGATTTCACATTCCAAATTATCACTGTAAACTCCCTCGACCAAGTCTTTATAGTCTTTAGTTGCTCCAGGGGCAGTTTAGGTTGGACATTAGGATTAATTTCTCCACAGAAAGGGTGATTTAACATTGATTTAACATTGGCATGGGCTGTGCAGGGAGGTGGCGGAGTCACTGTCCCTGGAGGTGTTTAAGGGAAGACTGGATGTGGCACTCGGTGCCATGTCTGGTTGAGTTGATGGTGTTGGGTCATTTGTTGGATCTCAGAGGTATTTTCCAACCTAACTGATTCTGGGATTCCCTGAAATGAGCTACAAGAGGAATGATTTCAGACGGGGCAGGGAGGGCTCGCACCTCCAACGGGAGACAGCGCGCTTGTTTGGGCAGGCGGGCAGAGTTCATCTCCTGCCCAGCGCTTGGTAAGGGGCTCTGTTGTCTAAGCCTTCAGGGAGCACAGTGAGTACAGCTGCCAAGGCTCAGGGGGTGTCTCTGTTCCACCGGAAGAGAAAACCCCGCAGCTCCGGCGCGATCCGGTCGGGTGGCGCTGAGATCCCCGCCTGGGCCCGGGCTGGGGCGCGGCCGCCGCGCTCCTCTGAGGGAGCCGCGGGGCGGGGCGGCCGCCGGGGTTTGTCCCTTGGCGGCCGCCGTACGGCGCGCTCTTCCCGCAGCCGGCCCGCGCGCTTCGGGAACGCCATGAGCCTGTGGGCGGACAAGCACCGGCCCAGCGCCCTCGGCCGCCTCGACTTCCACCGCGAGCAGGCGGCGCGGCTCCGCAACCTGGTCAGTGAGCCACGGGCTCGGCTCTGCCCCGCGCCCTCCCCGCCGGACTCTGCCCGGGGCCCCCGCGGCCTCCAGGTCCTCTCGGTCTCTCCTCCCCGCAGCGAGAACCCCCCCGGAGTCGGCATTGCGCCTGAATAAGGGGGAGAACTTTACTGTGCGGGTGACCGGGCGCTGGAACAGATTGCTCAGAGTGGCTGCGAATTCTCCGTCACTGGAGATAGTCGGGAACCCTCTGGATGCAATTCTGCACCCGGGAGGTTGGACCGCTGTGGTCCATTCCAGCCTGACCCATGCTATAATTGGGATTCCCTGCGGGCGCTAACGCTGCTCCGTGGGGCCGAGGTCGGCAGCTTTCCCTCCATGCAGGCCCTGCTTTTCCGAGCAGCGCCCGTGCCCGGGAAGCGTCCCGGCATCGCGCCCTGCTTGGCAGTGAGGCCCTGGTGCCGGGGAATCTGTGGGGAATCGGTGGCTCAGCTCTTTGGGGAGCGGTGTGCACATGCTCTTCTGCTGGTGTCAGTGTCCCCGAGAACAGGGCTTGGCTTGTTTGCCTCATGTTAGCAGAAATGTTTGAGGCGAGCAGCTAGGAAAGAAAGTCAGGACTGCTTCCCCTACCAGATGTGCCCACTGGCACATGCACTTCCTCAGGGATGAGTGATATCTAACTCATGTGGGTGCTTTCTGTGGGGTAGGATCAGATGTGCTCCAAGTCATGCATTGTAGCTTTCCAGGAGATAAACTCCTTATATATATATATATGTACACACACACACGAAAAAACCCACATATATATATATATATATATGTATGTACATCATAACTATATATAAGCATTTGCTTTAAACTTTGTTTCAACCCTTTTTTCTGTGTGTTTCTCACAGTTGTCACTCTAGTTACTGTGGGAAGCGTGTAAGTGTTGGAGTGGGGGTTTTGGGGTTTGTTTTGTTGTTGGTTTGCTTGGGGTGTTTTTCGAGCAGTGAGGTGTTTGAAGTTAAAAGAGTTGCACATGGCTGTCAGAAAAATATGTTTTATAGAAATGTTGCTGCAGGGAAAGATTTCAGCAGTTTTAATTCTAGGTGCTATGTTGTGATGGAGCTGGTAAAGTCATTTAATGTAAACTTGGGTGAAAATGGAAGGGTAGATGATCTTATAAGGAAAATACTGTGGTAGCTAACTGATCTTGTTTCTTTTTTGTTCAGGTTCAATGTGGTGACTTTCCTCATCTATTGGTGTATGGACCATCAGGAGCTGGAAAAAAGACAAGAATAATGTGTTTGTTAAGGGAATTATATGGTGCAGGAGTGGAGAAACTGAGGATTGAGCATCAGAGTATAACGGTAAAAAAATAAGTCTTCCATCTCCTGTGAAGTAATGTGGAAATAGTGATATATTTTGTGGAAATAGTGATGTATTTCTGTTGTGAGACCTTTGGAGTTATTTGAGTTTTAAAAATTAATTTTTATTTTGCACTTAGTATCTTCAACCTTTTTATGTAACTAATCATACCAGTTTGATTATACAGACAAATTATTTTCCAGATGTTCTTCAGGTGTGGGATTCTCTCTTGTTTTCTGTGCCTGCTTGGCTGTTCTTGTGGTGGAAGTTCTTTTGTGCAGAGTGGGTTTTTTAATTTATTGTTTACAGTTCATTTTGGACCATAGCATCTCTGCTGTTGCTATTTTATGGGCTGGATGATGTGTCAGTATTCCTTTTTTCTTTGGAGGTGGGGCTGGGACTGTAGGAGATAAGCAAGTCTGTGTCTCCAGAGTTCTTTGACATCTGAGACTCTTGGTTTGCCTGTTATTTAGTCAGGTGTAAGCTCCAAGAGATTTTTAGAACACTTTCTGAAACTTAATGTGCTTATTTTCTATGTAGGCACCTTCTAAGAAGAAGATTGAAATTTGCACCATTGCAAGTAATTATCACCTTGAAGTTAACCCAAGGTAAGTGTGCAGTAAAAATGTCTCACTTTAAAGGTGTGCCACTGGCTGTGTTGTGAGTGCCTTCAGCCTGGCTGCATGAGGGACTGATTGCCTGATTTGTTCCCTCAGCAAGTTAGGTAATGGTCTGTGGGTTTGGTCTGCAAATGAGAGCAGGGAGAGGATTTTTAATTGAGCAGCTGTAAATGAACAGAAATTTGGATTGCTGTATGCTTAAGGCAGAAATTTTGTGTTTAACTGGCTATGTAAGCATGCTGATGTTGAGGAATGGGCAACGGAGACAATTCTGGATTGACAGATTTCACCATTTTGGTTGAAATTAAGGAATTTGAAAGAAAGAAAGGCTTACCCTGTAACTCTCCAAATAAAGTGTTTAGAGCATGGGAAAGACCTCTGCAAAATACTGCAGATCCTGTCTTGAGTGAGGTCTGATATTGATTTAAACAACAGAAGCTCTAGTGGGAGCTGTCTACATCTTCTTTGGCTGTTAGGAAACTGGAGGGGATAGTTTGGAGACCCAAAGCAAATATTTGTATTTACCTGAAACCAGGTAAATACAAAGCAACATAATGTTGCTTTAAATCATTAAAGCGGTGTTGGTTAAAACCATAGCTCATGCTGCCTTGCCATGTAGAAGTTATTCTGCACTGCCAGGTCTCCTTTAAAAACTCATTCTTCAGCTAATCTGTTTATTGATTAGTGAGTATCTGCTGGTGTGCTAATACAGACACAAATAATTATCATCTAATTACCAATAAAAGCTGAGGTTTATTGGTAATCATTGTTTTGAATATGTCATTTTGGTGATACCAAATGTGTGACCATTCAATCCGGCTGTGATAACCTGATACTACTAGCACTCTTCCTGTTACTCTGTATCTGTGTACAGAGTAACAGGAAGAGTGCTAGTAGTATCAGTATCAGTACTTAGAGCTTGAAACATAAAATAATTATATTTCAATTTAAATACAAAATTGCTGAGCTTTGATTAAGGATTAATATCCTGATTTGTAACTGAGCAATTGTCATGTTTATGTCTGACCAGACAGTAAACCTCTGCTGTGCAGTGGCCTGTGAAGTTTGACTGAATTATAACAATGGTGAAGGCATGTGCATCTTGAGTAACATGGAATGGGGTGAATGGCTAACAAGGAGAGGAAGTGAATTTCTGGGAAGGACTCTGCTGAATAAAAGCCCACATTTATGTCAGGCATCCTCTTATGTGGTTAGGCTTAATTGTTCTTCCCATAATGAGTAAAAATATTCACATTGTGTGTCGTTGTTCAAACTAGGTAAAAAAAGTTTAGCTTTCTCATCTGAATAAAAGAAGTTCTATTTTAATGAGTTAATAAAACATTTAACAATGGATTTACTACATTTGAATAAAGTGCTACTAATCCAGTTGTGCCTGCATAAACTTCTGGTTGTTTTTATTATAGAGGAGGCAACTTTGAACAAAGTATATGAGTATTAGTTTAATTCTAACTCAAGAGCTTCTGAATTCTTTTGGCTTTCTTGCTCATTCATTTGTCTTTTTGAGGATGTATTTTATATGCAATATAAAGTTGTTTTAAAAAAGATTTTTTCAAATTCCTGGTGCAGTGATGCAGGAAACAATGACCGTGTAGTAATTCAGGAGCTCTTGAAGACAGTGGCACAGTCCCAGCAGCTTGAGACTAGTACTCAACGAGATTTTAAAGGTGAGTAAAACAGTTAAAACCAGTCAAAACGCTTTTTAAACATGGGGAGATTTCAGTTCACTGTTTTGTTTGTACCTGTATGTTGCATGAAGATTGTACAGTCAAAAAGGCACACAAGTAATCTTAATCTTTATTTTCCTGCCTGTGGAACCATGCTGTGTTTTTCTGTGTGTTATCACTTATTTTGGTATTATTGCTTGTATGTCAAAGGTATTTTTTTCTTAGAAAGATCTGATATTAATACAGAACCCCGCTATGTTTAATCCTTTTTTCAGTGGTGCTGTTAACAGAAGTTGACAAACTTACTAAAGAGGCTCAGCATGCTTTGCGAAGAACAATGGAGAAGTACATGGCGACCTGCAGGTTGATCCTGTGCTGCAACTCAATGTCAAAAATTATAGGGCCCATTCAAAGCAGATGCCTGGCTGTACGAGTGCCTGCTCCCAGCATTGAAGATGTATGTTGAAACGGAGGCAAAAATAAGTTACTATAAAATTCTTAGATAAGTTCTTGGTGTGGACTTATATTTTATTTTTACATAATGATGTAGTTTTCCTTTGTGTTGGATGATTTTCCAAGCATGGCTTATGAAAGACTGGTCCATCTCTGGTCCAGAAATCTTTCTAACAGGAGAATCTGTAGGTGCTGAACAGTTTGCAAAGTGTTGTACTCCCTGCTATCTGTTTCCTGTCTAGATCTGCCATGTCTTGTCCAGTGTGTGTAAGAAAGAAGGCCTGACTCTTCCTCAGGAGCTGGCTCAAAGGATTGCAGAGAAATCTGGCAGGAATCTTCGGAAAGCACTACTTATGTGTGAGTCCTGCAGAGTACAACAGTAAGTCACTGCAAAAATTAATGTAAGTTCTACTGTCAGACATAAATGACCTTGCTTCTAAGGCCTTGTTAAAACAGGCAACAACTTGCTTAGATTGTAATCTCTAAAAAGATATTTCTTAGGTATCCTTTTACTGCTGATCAAGACATTCCTGAGATGGACTGGGAAATTTATTTGAGAGAAACTGCAAATGCTATTGTTGGTCAACAGACACCACAAAGGTAGGTGAATGCATTTGTTAAGAGCTATGAATGATGTTTTCCATGTACTGTGGAACCTAAAAAAAAAGTTGCATTCAAAAATGTGGTGTCTCCAGTTATGTGTAATTTTCTGTCTTTCTGACTGGAGCTGGTACTTTGCAGCCAGAGGAGTGGGGCTTTAAAATTGCCAGAGAGTATGAATGAACTGAAGAACTATTGTTTTTCCCTGTCAAAGCTTAATAATCTAAAGTGACTTTAGGCTCAGTAGCATGTTGTGTTTCCCCATTGGGTGGTTTTTTTGGTGTGGGAGTGGTGGGTGTGTGTGGTCGTTCTGGTTTGTTTGTTTTACATAAAGTTTCTCTTTGACCATCTTGAGCATAAAGCACCTTTGTAAAAGAACTGGGAGTAAGAATTCATTGCTTTTTTTGAGCACATTAGGAGATGACTCCTGTGTCCATCTCACTGTCATAGCCAAAGCCTGATCCTTTTAGCCTGTTCCATTTATTATTTGCACAAGATGTCACTTAATTTAAATGCTTGTAGCATCTGCCCTTCTGTTTTCAAAAGCTGAGCTTTGGCTAATTGTGTCAGCTCTGCCACCTAATTGTCTTATCCTTTCTTCTAAACAATGAAGACAGAAAAACAGCACAAAGGAACTCTCTGGCTGTAGTAAATTAGTCACTAGTCTTAAGCATGAATAACTTAGATATGAAGAAAAATTAAAGGGAAACAGTCCCGAGACAAATTACAATAGCCTTGTAGCTTCTAGATTAACTGAGACCATTGTAACTAGAGTATGTGTCATTTATCTTTTGAGTAAAAGGTGATATGCAGCCTTTGAATTGAAATTGACTCATGCAATGCTTTTGGTCTTAAAATAACACCCAAAAGCAAAAAAGAGACATTGCTTGGATTGCCTCTTTTCCTGCAGTGTATTTCACTAGTTGTGAAAGACATTAGTATGCTTTGGGATCATGCTTCTCATATTTTGTGGTGTCTTTCCAACAGGCTTTTAGAAGTCCGTGGGCGGCTTTATGAACTCCTGACACACTGCATCCCTCCTGAGATTATAATGAAGGTAATTCAGCGATAGCTCTTAATGTGCTATACATTTTTATATCATGACTGTCTCAACTAAAGCTTTTTAAAAAAAAAATGCACCACATCATCATATATTATCAAGATATTGATGAAAAGCTGTGTCCTTTACAAACAGATTAAAGCTTGTTCAGTGGTCAAAAAAAACAGCATCATAGCTGAGTAAAAATAAAGGTGGACATTCTTAGTCCCCTTCACTTCTCAGGCCAGTTACTATATTAAAGCATAGTTGAGGATCCTGGTGGTCTTTCACAACCTTAATGATTAAATAATTCTGTGGGCTAATCTTTATATGATTGGTTTTCTTTTATAAGTTTTGTTGTTACAAGTTTGTTATTTGCTGTGTCTTTGTGGAGAGGTGTCCAGCAGAACTATTCAAAGACAGATGTCACCTTGGGAGGGAAAAAGCAAGTGGGATGTACATGTTTTTATTTTAAGGACACTGAAGACAGCTAGAGTAGAACAAAGATCAGAAATAATGTTTGCAACTTAACCTAGTAATGTTTGCTTTGCCATCAGACATAATTTCTTTTGACATTAACAAATTTCTGCTTTCTGATGGTTTTGGTACTTAGATGTTTCTTTAACTTTCCTTTCTTACAGTAGATCCTGCATTGCTGTGTTTGAGAGAAAAATGGTGCATGTTCTCTACTCACTCCCTCTTCATAAACTTGAAATGGTCTAGAGATACTTCTCACTTAATCCTGGCCATTTTAATTGAGATGGATTTGGATGATTTTATTGCTGTCTCTAAAATTATTCATTTTGGGGTTTTGTAACGACTAAAGTATTGGAGTCAAGTTGTCTTGTGTGTCTGCACATAAATACGTTCATAACGTTCATAAGAGACACTTAAATCCTAAATAACCCTTTCCTTGGTTTTTATTAATGTTGTTTCTCTTTGTGCTTGATGCTGTCAAGATATAACTAAGTGGTTTTAATACACTTGCTGTCTTGGTAGGAATTCTCCTCAGGCCATGTTCCTACATGCACTAGAGGTTCTAGTGTTTGGAGATGGGGTTAATTAATTTTCTTTTATTAAGGCATAAATTATCCCAGTAAATGAATGTATTTTCTGTTGGAATAATGAGTGAACTATTAGTTAATGGTTAGTTATTTTCAAAGAGCCAAGGTTATCCTCTTAACAAAAAATACATAATTTTTTAAATACTGCCCTGTTTTTTCCCATTTTAGGGTCTTTTGACAGAACTTCTAAATAATTGTGATGGACAACTGAAAGGAGAAGTGGCACAGATGGCAGCCTTCTATGAACATCGCTTGCAACTGGGCAGCAAAGCCATTTATCATCTGGAAGCATTTGTTGCAAAGTTTATGGCAATTTACAAGAAGTTCATGGAGGATGGGCTGGATGACATAATGTTCTAACTGATGCCCAAAGTTGTACACAGAATGTTGTGTCAAGATACCAATGGTGTTGCAAATGTCTAATTTTCTGTGCTTGATTACATATGGGTCTACTTCTATGTCAAATATTTTTGTTTGGCTATTTAATAAAACAATGCTTGTTCAGCTTTAGAAACCAGATGGATTTTTTGACAGCCACAAATCCATCTTTAGAGCCATACAAAATACATTGGCCTTTCAGAAAGACAACACATTGCTTTTGAAGATGTGCAAGATCAGAGCTGCTTTGCAGTATTTGTAAACTGACATTAAGAAGAGAGAACACAGGTGCTGTGTGCTTGGTTTTTGTTTGTTAATCACAGATGGGCAAGGCTGAAGGAAAAAGATGTTTTTTCCGTGTTCTGCCAAGTTCCACCTTGAACATATATGTTCTGCCTTCTGATCTATACATCTTATGTTTGTCTGGCTTCTTTTTTATAGCCTGAGTGTTTTCTGTGGTGTGTTCACACAAAATGTTTTCTTTTTTTTTTTCTTTGTAAGCAGTTGCATTGAAATTGTGGAGGAGCAATACTTTGGTGTGGCTTGTAAATCACATGTAACACGTTTAGAAGGATTATACCTTCATAAAGCAAGTTCACTTACTGTCTGACACTCCTGGGTTGGCCTCAATCTACATAATGCTGTTCAGGTAAAGGTTATTACTTTGACTATTTTTTTAATGAAAGGAAAAGTTTCAGCTTTCAACAAGTATTTTTTACCTTTTAAACGGATATATGACCTTTTTAAAATGTGAAAATAAATTGTAGCAAATATGAATAAAAATGCTGAATTGTTTTTTTCACACTGTCTCTAACAGTCTAGGTGCATTCATCTGCTTTGGTGTAAACATCTTTCAGAAAGGTGGGATATCCCACACATGCTGTAAAACTGAAGGGAGCCACTGAAGTTTAAAAAAAAATCCAAATAAATACAAGCAACAAGAACAAGTGAAAAAACAGCCTCCCAAAATAATAATAATGATAATAATAGAGAACCAACAATACCTGTGCTGCAAGTCTTTCACATGTTATATCTGTGTACCATGGTACTATAAAAATTACTGAATTCACGCTCTTTATTCTCAATGCTAATTTAGGCTATTACTAGACAGTATTTAAAGCTTAAGTTAATTAAATACTGCTGCTGTTCTCAAGGACTTAAGGGTTCCATGTGGGGTGTTAATGCACAGCTTGCATTCAGATTCATTCTCAGTAAGATGGTGCTGCCCTGTTTCCTGCTCAGTGGGGCTCCTGAAGAAAGAGATGATGAGAGTTTTTTTCCTTCCATATGCTTGTCACCCAAATCCACAGCACTGGTAACTTGTCATATTGTGAATGTCTTCACTGTCAAAAGATCCTGGAGAAACATTAAACTAGTCAGTGATAGTGGAAAGGAATGCTTAAATTCATTACAAAGTAGGGCACAACTTTGCAATAGAGGGGGCACAATTACTGCACATAAAAACTGCTCTGCTCTGGCCAGAGCCTTGTATTATCTACTGGTTTTTAAAAGCTGAACAGTATTTACGATTTCCCTACTACTAATGCACAGTGTGTAAAGTGAGTTCAAAGGATGACAAAATACTTCCCCCTCCCAAAAAAACCAACCCCAAAAGCTAATGTGGGAGAAAAGGAATGTATGTAGGGGGTTGTGAAATGCATAGGGGCAGTGTTGCTGTGCAGGAGCTGTACTGGAGGTTTATTGGGCAGAGGAACAACTTGCTCTTTCAAAAGGCCTCAGCAGCTTTGTCTAGGAGTCAGAAACACAGTATAGATCTCTGTAGGTGTTGTTGTTGCTCCTTGTTGAAGTTTCCTTTTTATCCTTTATTACTTAGGATGAATCAAGAGTAGCCAAGGATGGAAAGATGGTATAATGACAGGATTTCTGTGAGAAAACAGGCAATCATTGATCCTGAGAGCCAGCATTTCCCCCTGCTGATCCTGACTCATCTTCCACAGTCTAGAACACAAATTTAAGTACACATGGGCACAACTATCTTATAAGTCTCTGCACATGTCTTTCCTTGCTAGTAATTTTCCAGGAAATTTTGACTCAGTATTCATAACAGGCTTCAGGGGAGGTGGTCATGCCATCAAGCCTGTCAGAGTTCAAGGAGTTGTCTGGGTGTTGCTGTCATGTCCTTTAGTTTTAGTTCGTCCTGTGAGGAGCACGGAGTTGGACTTGATGTTCCTTAGGAGTGACTTCCACCTTGAGAGATGCTGTGATGATCAGTAAGTGTTGTGCTTTCTGGGAATGTTTTAGACACTCACTCCCTTAGATGCTGCTTCCTCTCCCTTAGGGGCAGTTGCAGCTCTTGCTTAGATGCAGTGTGATGCTGAGCTGAGGTGCTGGGCTCTGCTGCAGGGAGCAGGGACCCTTGAGCTCATGCAGGTGGCTGTCAGAAATAAAACTGAGTTTTCTGGCTTTTTTTCCCCTTCATGGGGCTCCCGTGCAAATCCTTTCACCAAAAATACAGAATGTTAGCCTGGCAAGTGAGCCTCTTCTGGGTGGGCACCGCTGCCTCTCCAGCCTGGAACAGAATCACAGAATGATTTATGTTGGAAAAGACCTCTGAGATCGAGTCCAGCTGAGCCCGCACACACATGGCCCAACAACAGTGCTGTGCTGGACCTACGCTTGGCACAGCACACATGCCTTGCAGATCAAGTGGAAGAGGCAGTGCAGATAGACTCCTGAACACTAACTAGCACAGGACCAACCTCTCAAATGATCCGTTTCTTCAGCTGATTTCATCTTTTGAGACCTGCTTAGAATTGCTGCTGAATTGCATGCTGAGAGGATTACCCTCGCTTTTATCCAGCGACACCTCCCGCTAGCTGGAAATGAAAACTCCAAGCTGCTCCCTCCCACGTGGGACTTAAGCACTGAAGGTGTCTGAGGGGTTGCAGAGGAGTCAGCTTCAAGACAGCACAGAAAGCCAGAGGTGAAACCCGTTTAAAAAAAAGGATCAAGAAACTGAAGGCAGCAAGTACTTCTGTTGAAACTTCCTGTGCTCTGCAGAGATCAGCTGTGCAAAGGGTGAATGGTACATTCATACTTTATTCCCCATCTCTGAAGCCCAAGTGCTAACTCCTGTGAGGAATATTTAAAGAATTTGACCTCTATTGTTGAATGTACCCTGAAGGCTAATCAATAGTGCATCATTCAAGGTGCATGTCAGAAATAAGTTACCTTTCACAAAATGGCTAAGATTAAAATAATTTGTCATTAACTTCAACACTTCAGAAATTGACTCAGAATTTTCTCTGTCATCACAATTGAAATTATTTTCTGTCCAAATTAACCAGGACCCCTGGTTCCTACTCCAGGTTTTTGCTTTTTAAAATGTTTTTTCCTTTTTAATGCTGTGGATGCTTTGTTTGTTTTCAAGTTGACACCAGTAACAGTTAAACAATCCTTCAAGTTGTCTGTCTTCTACAGTTGTGTACAGTTGGTGAACTTCTGGAAGAAACTGAATGCTCTGTTTCAGCAATCCTAGCATTAGTAAATTGTGTCCCAATCATTTGAGCCTTAGGTGATGTTTCAGTAGAGGTGGGTTTGGCACCTCCTAAGTAAGAGTGAGGCATTAGCTATTACAAGCATGTAGCTTCACCACTGACACCACTGGTCCATCTGTGTTTCTCTTAGCAGCCACCACCTCTGTCCTGGCACCTTCTTGGAGCTATTTGCAGTCCTATCCCAGCACATGGAGTAGGTGTTGGTATTTCTTATATGTTATAACCTCTTTGCAAGCCACTGTATACAATTATAGAGAATAAAGATTGGGCATGGGGAAGTTGAAGACTGAGAGCTGGGGACCTACTGTGCTGCTCTCTTTCTTGGCTGACCTCAAGTGTTCCTAAATAATTTTCAGGTTTTCCCTGGGACAATCTACTTTGCTGTATGAAATGTGATGCTTTTAGTTGGCAGCCTGTGACAGCTAGTGAATGGCACAGTTTCACTACAGCTCAATGTTGCCAATGTGGGCTTTCACTGCAAGCAAGCTGGTGTTCTTTTTTTAAACTTGTGATAGTATGTTCATGTCAAATGATTTTTGTGCCAAAGTATAAAGGCAACACTTAGCTCACTCCTGGTCACAATGAGATGTGAAAGGCATGCTAGTAAAGCACGTGTTTTGTGAAATCCATAGAATATTTCCTGTGCTTTTTACCCCTCAGAATCCTTCTGCCAAATGTTATTTCAGTCTTGAGTGAGAAGGAAGGAGGGAAAATCAGGAGCCCCTTCAAAGAGAAGAAAAATAATCAGAATGACAAAGCAGGCAAGGACAGATCCTGAGGGAAGACAGGTACACTCATTAATTGTATTTACATTTCATAGACTAGTCACCTGCAGTGTTCTCAATCATACCCTACACTTACATTCCCTGCCACACACCATGAATAATAAATGCACTTTTGAAGATAGAGTAGGTGACCAAATAGGCTTCTTCCAGTTCTAATTTTGTGGGTGATCTTAATTTGAGAGGTCAGTACAAATGCCTAATGTAAGTGACAATTTTAGGCCAGTAATTGCAAATTAAGACAGAAAGCAAGATGCTGGCTAAGGCACTTTCAGATAGATCACAGATAACCTTGCAGGAGTTGATTAACTCAAATGGAATGCCTCCTTAGGTGATAGCTACCAAATAATATTTGGAACAATTTTTAAAATTAAAAAGGATGAAGGAAAAGGATTTATGAAACTCTTGGCAGCATTTTCTCTGGAGAAAGAATTTTGATAATAAGTGGGGTTAGCTGTTTGCTAATTAGCAAACAATTAGAAGAAAGACATTTACCCAGTAGGCAAACATTTTTGATGATAGACTCACTCTCATCAAACCTGTTTATGCTGAAGGAGGATAAACATTGCTGTGCTCACAGTGTCTCAGTGATGTGAGCAGCACTGGCTGCTGCTCCTGTGCCACCTTTGCATGGGCTGGCTGGGACTCAGTGTGACAGTGCTTAATGTGGCAAGCACAAAACAGAGAGCCCTGCACTGTGCTGTTGATCCTGATGTAGCTGAGGACAATTTCCCAGAGCTCCACAAAAGAAATTAGGAACAGCACAGCAAGCATCTGTGGAGAAAACAGAAATCTCCAACACTGGGGAATTTTTTGGGACCTGCAAGCCAGAAAAA